TGTGTGTGTGTGTGTGTGTTTGTGTGTGTGTGTGTGTGCGCGCGCGCGCGCGTGTGTGTGTGTGAGTGTGTGTGTCTGTGTGCGTTCATGTGTGCGTGTGTGCATTCATGGGTTTGGGTGCGGCTGTGGGTGTGGGTGTGCAAGTTATCTCCTTCAGACGTTGTAACGCTGCGCTGCTCATTTGGCTTGCAACCTTGTTTTCCTTATCACTGGACGACCAAGAACCACAGCATCATTACAAACAGCCGACCTTCATACTGTCACAAAATAGGAAGAAGAGAAATGGGTCAAGACCACTTACCGTAAAAGCCCTAGCAGTGAACCCTTCTCCATCTCCAAAGGCAGATGATCCACGTCCTTCCAAAAAGAGTAGTGTCCTGCAATATTACAATGACATTTTGACAGAGATTTTAAATGGGAAGGACAGTTGTACCCGCTTCGTGGATACATGACACAGACATATGACTGTTGACAAACAGATCATGGGTTCATACCTTGACGGATACAACAATGATAGATAGGGCCTACGGTGACAAATGGCCTGCGCTAGAAGGCTATAAAACCAAGCCCCACAGATGTCCACGATACCAACCAGCTCACCCCACAAGTCTAGAAACAGAAAACATAGAGCATACCCTTTCGGAAACCGAACAAGTCTCCCCCTCCCTATTCCCTTGAGGCATCTTTTGCAGTGCAATGTTCTTTTCCTCTCCAGTTGCATTTGCCCAGAAACGTCATTTATTTGGTACCTCATAAAGTGACCTGCTAGTGCAACAGGAACCGCAATGCCACTCCCCGGAACAGAACAGATTAGAGGTATTATCACGAGGTCATGCCTTGGCCATGCCTTATCAACAACCCCAAAAAAAAAAACACTATATTCATCAGGTGCAGGTTCCACTTCGGCTGTGCTGAGGTCTTCGTAACAAAACCTGAGAGCAACAATCACAAAGTAAATCAGCTCCTCATGTCAGGCGTCAGAGTCGAAAACCGGGACAACGATGGTGGTCAGAGGCGCCTGCCCAACAGTCGTAACCAAAGTGGCAGGTTTTCAACTTTTCACACCTGCTCTTACCCCTTGCCTTGTACACCACACCGCTCCCATTGGCGAGTTGTATAAGAAACAACAACAAACACAGTCCAACAGCCTCCCTATTTCACAGACCCAGTAAGGTTTGTTCCTAAACCTCAAAGACCTCAATGACTGTCAAACATCTGGCCGTATGCTGCCCGTTCCAAGGACATTGAAGGAAACCTTTCCAGTGTGCTGACCATGCAGTCATAACCCAATGGAGCATCTCAGTGAACATGGCGCTCAGATTCGATCGCATGATTTTTAGTTCGGAATGTCACATAGGTTGTTTGTTTCCATGCCCCGGACCAAACGTTGGAGATTCCAGCACTCAATGTTCAAATCCTTAACCTATCTGGATATTTAGGCTTGTAAATTTTCCCTCAACCACTTGCACAAGGGATGCCGCAACTCCAACCAATCCAACGCACCTGACATTCGTTTGGTTTGCCTCCAGCCCAACTCCCTTGTGTTCATCCCACGCCTCCAAGGAAACACCGTGGACCTGAAAACACAAAGGCATTCCGAAGTCCAAAGCCCCACATGAAAACTGAGTCACTACTGCTGTGCAAACAGCCCCACAAATCCAGCGCACTTTGTAACCCGCTTGACCAGAGTACATACACTCCTTGCCAATGCTCACGTGCACATTCTTGTGACCCGCTTAAGCACAGAACATATGCTTTATGCAAACCAACAGACATAACCCCAAAACCTTCCGAAAGAGCGTTGTCAAACTGTCCATACGCAATTAAAATTGGTACAGAGGAAAGCACCAGACACTTACTCTTGCCAACCAACCAACCGAGATGGACAGGCAGGACCAACGAGCCAACCAACCGAACAAATGACACAGACATGCAGCACCCACCAACCAACTGAGATCGACAGCCAGGACCGACCGGCCGACCAACCGAACAAACGACACAGACAGGCAGCACCGACCACCCAACCGACCAACACAGATGCAAACCAACCAAACAACCGAGATGCACAGGCAGGATCACCGACCGACCCACACAGGTAGGCAGGATTGACTGGCCGACCAAAACATAGACAGGCACGAACAACCAACCAACTGAAGGACCGACCAACCCACCAACCAACCAGCCCACCCACCCACCACCCACCAACCACCCCCACCCACCCATCTACCCACCAAGTTGCACCAACCCACCCACCCGTCAATCAACTCACCCACCCACCTGCCTATCCACCAACTTACCCACCAACCCGCACACCGAACCCTCACCTGACCAACCGACCAAACCCCAAACAGTTCCTATTCTTCACACTCAGGGCTAGGCCCCACCAGCGCTATGTACCGGTTCTGCCAACAAACTCCCGCTTTCCTGAGCACGGACATAGCCCCAGTTCCGTGTGGCCCTGGCCCTCATAGTATTACATCTGCATCATCCTGGCCTGTGGGGAGACCTGTCCTCTCGACCAATTGGAGTTCTCAGCTGGTAAAGATTCTGTCCGCGCAGGGATGCATTGTGTCCTGTCCGCGCAGGGATGCATTGTGACCCTGACCTGTCCTCAGCTGGTAAAGATTCTGTCCGTGCACGGATGCAATGTGACCACAATTTCTGAAGTAACAAGCACAAGTTCTATTCTGCACACTCAGGACTAGCCCCCACCAGTGATATTTCCCATTTCTGCCAACAAATCCCTGCTTTCTGAGCACAGACATAGCCCCAGTGATGCACGGCCCTCATACAGTTTACCCCTTGAAGCCACACTGCCTCTGGGCCAAAACCGGGGCCATGGTCATTTCCAATCACAGGCACCTCATTTGCCAGCATGTCCACACAGTTACCGAAGCTAACTGCAGCCCCCTTGAACATAGAATTAAAGAGGGGACAGAGAAGACTGACGGCGCGCGCAAGGGAAGGTAGTGGTGGTTTTCAAGAAAACTCGACAGCAAAACAATTCCTGCTTGATCATACTTACACCTCTTGACAGCAACCGACTCATCATTCCTATGCTTGCTTGATGAATGGAAAGAAAACAATAAAAAAAGAAGGGATGCAAACGACCAACTACGTGCCAATCCAGACAAATAAGGAGCTGCATGGACATCACATCACGCGACCACAGGATCCCAAACCTCGCACAGAAGTCCACCTACTGCCCCTCTGAACTTTTTCCCTAACTTCCTTGGGAGAATAGCGGTGGTCGTCAGATTACACATTAGAAAATAGAGAGGAGAAATGAAAAGCTATCACGAAGGCTGCCACGAAGACGCGGACCTTTGTTTCGCCTGTCGATTCGTGATCACTGCCTTCACCTTCAGCAACCCTGCAAGTGACAAGTAGTGGCAGCAACCCATCGTCAGATTCACCCTCGTCAATTCAAACAACAATCGACTACTAATTTTTTCTTGATTTACATGTGTCATCCTTGCCCAGGGGGGGGCATTCTAACTTTCTCTGTATCGTTCCAATTTTCACCAATGTCCCAAAGAACAAAATCGATTCTTACTTTCATCTCTCAATACCAATAGTAATACAATGATATTCTTTACTTCAGTCTTTGATCAGTTTTCTAACATTTCCTTCGCCCACTATGCTGCCCATGCATGATCTTTTTTCGTAGGCTGCCAGTCCAGATGTCCGGGCCCTTCCCGGGTGTCCAGAATGTCCGTAAGGAAAACGGTCCAGAATGCATGGATACGTATGGGAATTGATGAACAGCCCAACAAAAATGGTTCGAGCTAATTAATGTTGTAGCTCTTTTTTGTACAAATACAAAGTTACAAGCAACTTCTGGCTGCGGGTCATCTCCGTGTTCTCACCAGAACAAAAGATGAAAAACTTAAAAGAGAGAAAATAAAATATAATGAAAGCAATCGAAGTAACCCGGCCCCCTTCACCCTTTTACATGTTTTAGAAAGTAAAGTCCGATTTGTGCCTCATTGGCCGACTGTTCCCCCAAAAAAATCTGGAAAATTAATAATAATTTTGACGGCTTTTCTTCTTTTTTTTTTTTT